GTATGCCCTCTTAGTAGTAGGTAGGAGTTGCAATCTTATCTCAGTCAGGAACAAGGCTAGTTATAAAAACGCATTTGTAGTCTTTGTTCTGATAACTGTACACTGGGAAATGCTGTGTTTTCACTAAAACATATCCTGGAGGAAATCAAAACAGGTTTGTTGTGCTACTGGAAGCACAAAACCAGAATTCTGCAGGTGTTTGCCGCATCTCAGCCCAGGAAAGACCCCTTTCCTTAATTCTGGTGACTTTTTCTACTGTGATTTAAGGGTTGGGAGAAAAGTAGGAATAGAAGATCATAAGTTTATTTTAATTATGGATTTCTATACCTACTAATATCACCAGTTCTTTTCAGATCTGAAGAAATGATTCCACTGTGGTTAGTTTGGGGGTTTTGGGTGGGTTTATTTTGCTGAGGGAATAAGGATGTACTTTACCTTTGCTTGGAGAACCCTTTCAGTTTAGTTCTTACTATTTAGAGGGAAAAAATCCACATAGAAAAAAAATCCTATTGCTACTTTCTCCTTTGCCTCTTACCGTTATTCTGCCATCCTAGCTCTTTATTTCCTCACATTATTGTAGCATTTTCATTCAAACACAGTGCCACACCATCTGAGGCATCAAGAGCCACCTCGTATTCATAGGAGCACCTTATTTTGTTGTTATAGACTTTAGTGCTCGGGTGTCATGGTGATGCTTGTACCAGAAATACTAATCTGTGCAAGGATCTTTACACAGAGAGGAATTCTGTAATGGCAGCACAGTTAGGCCTTTGTCCTGAAAGGTTTGCAGTCATATACTAGAAATGTTTCTGTAAGGAAGCAGAAACACCTCTCTTGCCACAGGGCTTTCTGAAATGGTAAAACTGGACAGCAGAATAAGCATTTGATCAGCATTATGCAGAGTTCCTGTTTGTCAAATAGTGAGACATAATACTAAGGCACAGTGCCCCCTTACTCAGGTCTGTTCTTGAAATACCTGAAACATCTCACCACTTCAGTGCTAAATGCTGTTAACTGCCTCTGTTTCCAGCCTGCCCAGCTGCAAATACATGGGCTGTTATTCTCATATCCATTAGTTCTGATATAACCCTGTCTACTTTTGATGAAAGCAAAAAACCAAGTACCCCTGTACAGTCACTCAAGATCAGTCCAGCTATTGCCAGTGTCAGGTTCTGTCAGTGGGAAGCCAAGCAGTGTCGAACTGCATTTGAATCCTGTGTTCCAGAAAATAGCAGAAAAATCTCTCATGAGAAGAACTTACTTCTTTTAGATTATCTACTGGAAGCTGCTTATGTGATGCAAGGATGGGGTCACATTTGGGTAGGATATTAAAAATACCTTAGGTTTTTGCTCTAAGTGCATACCTTACACTACAGAAGAAAGGTGTTCTTGGAAGATGTGGGAGTACCCACAGAGGCTTGAGCTATGACTCAAATTGCTCTGCTTGGCTGTGGCTTGTCTCCATGGTTTATAAAATTCAATATATATGATAAAAATAGACATAATTGAAAGTAAATAAAGAGGAAGTAAATGTATATGACCTCCACATATGCCAGCTAAAAGCTGACTTTGAAGTGATGATGACATGGGAGATATGGGACAACCTGATGCAAAGCAGACCTGAGTAGATTGGTAAAATACCAGCTGACATTCCCCTGGTGGCATATGGCATTCTAGAACATTTTCTATCCATAAACATAAAAATTATGCATAAACCCAAAGCCTCATTTCCTCATTGAAATACAGAATATTAAATTACTTGCCAGGGAACACACAGCAGGTTAATGGTGAAGCTATTGATCCAAGTCTGTCCTTAATTCCATCCACTGGATTGAAAGTTCTCAGACTTTCCTTTAGGATCATTCTTTGGTTGGAACCTTTGCTCCTTCAAATATATTTCACTTTGCAAATTGGCACAAAGTTATATGCACAGATTGACATAAATATAATCAAGACCAAAACTCACACTACCATCAGTTTTGCTCGGTGAATATATGTTGTGGTTTAACCCTATGCCATGTGGATTTTCAACTTTCTGCTATTATTAAAAACACATTATTGCATGCTAAACACACTTAGCTACTAAAATTGGATTATCAGTGAATTTTGTTAAAAATAAGTCCCCGGTGGTATGCAGGAAGTTTCCAGGTCTAACATCCTAGGGGTAATATTTCATGAGCCCTAGCATCCAAGGGCAGTATTTCATGAGCCAAGACAGCAGAATTAGAAAGAATGCTGCACTAACGAGGAAGATGGGCTACAACTCAAACTCTATGAGGCCAGTGGTAATGCTATTATTGATGTTAATGGACTAGACTTTCAACTTTCGAATAGCCTGGAAGAAGAAAAGCAAACAGGATAGTGGAGTGAGACAGGCCGAGGCTGGGACTGATCCGGTCATAATAGCTCAGCTGGGCACACAATAAGTACAGATACAGATATAAAACCTATGCCAAGTTGAAGCTCAGAGGCAATGTCTAGAAAAGCAGAACTGCTTAGACTGTACCTGTGAACCCTTATCATTGCCTTGAAATCTGCAGAATTTGGAGGAAAAAGCTCTACAGCACCATAAGGGTGCAATCAGACAGCTTAGAAATGAAACCACGTTCCTCAGCCTACATCACTAAAGGTAAAAGCAGGGGGCTACCCTTAATTAGGCAGACGTGAAAAAGTTAAACCAAGGAATGAGTTCTCATTTTGAGAAGACCTCTAGGTCAGGCTTCAAAATGAACTCTTTCAAGATTTCAAAATAGAATTTGTCCCCCTCTTCACCCGGCACCAGTTAAGTATTGCTTGAATGCGATCAGTGGATTGAGAGAGCTGGAGGGCTCTCCCTTCACCTTTCACTCACCTTTATCAGTCAGAAGAAAGGGGAAGGACAGCTCACACCATTCCTGTGTGCAATTCACTTTGCCTGTATTTTTATTTTGGAAACACTGAGCAGTAAGTAACGAAAACCTACCAGTAACGAAAATCTATCCTAAAAATAGAGGTAGGCAAATAACCTTTGTAATGGCTTAGCCCCCTATCTCAGCATCAGACACCAATAAGCTGAAATTTCTTCTGTCTAACTGTTGCTTTGAACTATTTTAATGACTGCCATTTTATATTTTAACTCCTTGGACCTACTGCAATTGTCCTAAATTTTAGCTTTGCCATTCAATTATCACATGGGACACATAAAACTCTTGTAGTTTCCTGCTCTGATAGGATCTGCACATTTGCAATTCTGCTTCCCAGTGCACTTGTGTGTGTGGCTTCAAAACCCTTCCTGCCAGTAAAACCAAATTATTTAACTGTTCTGAGAAAATGAATGCAAAGGGACAGAAAAAGATCAAGCTGAGTTTATTTAAGATGTGGATAAAGATCCATGGAACACCCCTGGCATTATTTGCCCAGCTCTCTTTAACACTGTGGTGGTGCAGCATTTTGGTTAGCGTGGTACCTAAGCTAACTGGTCTCACTTAGCATTCTCCTCCAGGATGGGACTGCAGGCAGATTGTACAACCCAAGTGTGTTACACCCACTCACTCACTGTAAACTCAGACCCCGCAAAACTTCCTGGAGAGTGAAGAATTGAAGGATAAAACTGTTCAAAGCATTACAATGTGCAATTTCAACACAAGGCATAACAGAAGTAGGTATGTGGGAGGATATTACTTCATTATAAACCTAAATCAGATGCCCAAAGATTTCTGTCATCTCCAGAGACCATTCTATCAGGCTCTACAAGAGGTTTTCCAGTGGAAGAAAAATAGTCCAACACCCTCCCCCCTCTCCTCCAGGCTTGAGAAAGTTGTATGGCTTTTTTAACAGTTTCTAATGAAATCCCATATTATTGCTTCTCCCCTGGGAGACTTCAAAAGTCATGCAAACTTCACAAAGCCCACATGTTCATAAACCTCAAGCAAAAGACCGGTAAGGAAATAAACTGCAGTTTTCCAATTAGCATTTGACATTCTTTACTGTTTTTTTGCTGGGGTGAATTTGTCTTTCTTCTAAACCATCCTGATAAATGAAATGAGTTACTAAACTCAGCATTATTTCATGTTTTAAGGCACGCTGAAATCAAACACTCCAATTCACAGTGGGATTTGCTCTCTGCATAATATTTGGGTGAAATATGAAACAAACCCAGCAGTTTCAAACATGTTAAAGGGGCTAATACGTACATGACTGTTTTCTTCAAGCTCCTTATTGTGTATTCACAGCTACTGCCAAACACAACAGCAGAGACGGGGCATTAGGATATGAAATGGGAAGTGGTCAGGTTTTCAAAGCAAGCTGCTGGGTGCCGAACACTTTTGAAAGCCTGGCCCCTGACTCTTTGGTGCTGTTCCAGAAAGAAATATCTCTCTGCTGGCAGCTGGCCAACCAGCTTTGGAAATCATTTTGCACAGTAATTTCAGTAAAGCATAAAGGCCAATCCCCAGCTTTCTGTGCCTGATTAAGCACTGTCACCAATCGCTATGCAGCTCTAAGGTACGCATGAAATATTCCTAGATAAATCCTCCATCTCCAGAGAAATGTGTTTCCTGTACAACTGTAAATCCAGGTTCTGTGTTGAAACTAATCCAGTCTGGCAGTGCTATGGCCCTAGAAAAGTTTCCTTGGAAACGACAAATTTATGCAATGGCAAAGTCATCCAATCTTTTCATGCCAGTATATTATATTAAAAACACCTGGTTTATTTATACAATGACTTACAGATCACGGTCCTAGAAATAATGATACATAAACTTTATAGCAAAAAATATACATATAATAATTCATCCTTCTATGATATATAGAAATGATGTATATTTGAGTGTGTGGACATATATATAAATATATGGGTTGTACTTACGTTTTAGGGCACTTGTGTATAGATATGTGTATGTACATACACACAGTATACATTTATATATCTTTCTAGGCGCCATGTGTGTATACATAAACACACAAATACACACACAGGAGCATATTTACAATCTGTGATTAGATGTGTATTTTGCGGAGTCTTTCACTGGCTGTGAGCATCAAAGGGGTCAGTGACCACCCACATTAATGTCCATGGGAAGAGAACTAATGTCATCGCTGTGGGCACAGGACTGGCTTGATACATCTTCCTTTGTGAAGAACTAGATTTGCTGGACAGTGGCATCCTGCAATGCAGGGCTTGTTGCATGGGCCAATTTCGTTCCAGTTGTCACATGTTTTGACACATCCTGGACCACAGGTATCATAAACTGCACCGTGTTTACACTGAGTTGCTGTAAGACAGTTAAAAGGAACAAAATACCATATTACACAAAGGCCACAAGGAAAGTTAGCTATCTGCTTGGTTCCTACTGCAAATATCAAACCCCACATTTTGGTATGGCGATCACCTAGAGGAAAAAAATTACTCATGTGATTGCAGTACATTAAATTCAGCACTACTTTACATCACAAATATAATGGTAGCAAATTTCCTAATCAAAAGGTATCAAGTTCCTAGCAGTCTTAACTTATTTTGAGTATTTTAACACAGATGATGGTATATAAAGCTTTGGTAAGGTTTGTACCTATAAGCAGATCTATGCTCTATATTTAAGGCTTAACATTGTTCATTTATGTGTTACTATAATTTATCAAAGATTCCTGAAACATTTACAAGGACAGACAGTTATTATCAGTCCCACTCCTACAGGAAGGAGAGTTGTTCACCATGTCGGATTTTCTAGCCCTAAGATTATACTTTCAATAATGCATGTTGCAGCAGATTCAAACAATGCTGTTAATTCCGCAGCACCATTTCTAAACCACAACAAAACAATAAAAATCAGTTATTTCCATGCTTTATGCTATTTTACCAAGGGATCGCCGAGAATGAGAATTCTTGTACTTAATGATCCCAGTATCTATTCATTGATTTATGTAGTTGACAGTTCAATGCATTTCCAACATAAGAGACCACTGAGGGCTCAGCTAAAAGCTCTCTATCCCCTCAAGATCAATATTTAAACTCTTAACATTTTATATCCTGACTTTTTAGTATGGAGAATAATACATGCTTTGATAATGAATAGAAGTCCGTTATTCTTTCTAATGGCTGTGGTGATGGTAAAACCAAGTACTAATAGTTTATAGATGGTAAGGGATTCTCAAGAATCCAGAATCATCTCTTCCCATTAACAGAGAGGTGGTTGCATTAAGAAGGTTTCCTCCATTTTGGGAGAGATAGAAAGTCCAGATTTTTTAAAGACCAGTTCTGTTATGGACAGAAGCATGCTGTTCTGTGGTGAGGATTTGCCTTGGAGTGCCATTACAGCACTATTATTATTCGTAAAGAGAAATAGGCAGAAAGATATTGGTTAAATATGTATAAGAGTGTATAACAGAGGATGGAAGTCTTAGTGCTAAAGCATCATAAATTTAAGGGGTTCCTCCTCACCAGTGACAAGGTGATCTTCAAAATAGCATCAACTTCTTGCAAGTTCTACTTCTTATGATTTTTATGATATTTATGTATATGTGAAAAGTAACCTTGAAGAAGGAATTCTGTCAGGAATGCATACAAAGTTCTCTGGACACATATATTAAATAAACAAACAAAAAAATGGGTAGTACAGCAGAAAAATACCCAGGAGTTACAGAGAATCAACAGCTAAATATTAGACAGATACTAGATTTTAGGTAGATATTAGGGACAGAAAAGCTCTCTAGCTTTCAGCATGAGAAAGTACCAGAGCAAGCTACCCAAAAACTCCAGGATACACCTTTTACTGCATATCGCTTTAGAGCAGGTTGGAAAAAAAACATGTGTCAGCAATGTTCAAGACAGGCTTATTCAGCTTGTGGGAACAGATGTTTTGAGCACTTTTTTTCCCACCTTTCCCCTTCTCTCTTGCTGTGCATGATAACTTTCATGTACACTGAAGAAGGAACAAACAACAGGAATAATTACAATGAAATCTAAATGAAACAGGAAATACAGAAGATGGGAAAAACATGCAAGCAATAAGAGTAAAGTAAAATATTAGATTCATGACAAACTCTCCACTTACACACTGCGTTAAGAATAGTGACTGAATCTCTATAAAATGGGAGATTAAAATGTGTTTGTAAACAATGTATTAACTGTCCAGAAAAGTAGACCGAGATGTTCAAAGATGGATAGCGATTTTCCACACAATGTGAATTCTTTAAGCGGACTGTTTCCTAGAAACTTCCATCCCTCCTTCTGAAAATGAGTTTCCCTTCGAAGGATCTCTAATGGACCAATCACAAACAGAAACATCTGCCTTCAGTACATGCAGTTTCCGTATAGAAAGGTCTGTGAGCTTCCATTTTTAGGCTGTACAGGTTTCATCCCACAAGGCTTCACTGCAGTAACAGCCAGCTCATTTGTTCCACCTGAGCTCTGTTTAGTGCCTCAGCCAGTGGGTTTCAGGAAAGTTGGCCAAGGTCTCCTTTCCACTTCCTCATCTCTGCCCAGAGCAAATGAGAACATATTACAGCCTGCCTTCAGCAGCAGTGGCATCTCTAAGTAGTCCCCAGCTCTGCGCTACCACACATGGATATGGTATGTCAAAACACCTCCTTCTCCTTCAGATGATGCCATGTAGAAGATAACGTGACTTTATTTTCTGCTGTAGGCAGTACAGAGTGGCATTATTAACTCATTGTCAAGGGGAAAATCAGGAAAGTACAATGGCTGCTGTTTCCTGGATGGTTTTTATTGTTGAGTGCTTCAGTTGCTAACATGTGGTGTGATTGATCCAGAACATTCCACTTCATCAACACTTTAAAAAATAAAAATAAACACATTCTGCAGTAGGCTTCCTGGGGCCTGCTGAAATGAATCAGTACCATGTAAACATGGAAAACAGAAGTGATGCCATTGCACCCGTCTTTTAAGGCAAATTCCTCTCTTAAATAGCCAATCTCTGTTAGTAATAACTTCCTTAGTGCACTAGCAAAAAAATAATAATTCAAAAACCCAACCCCAAAGCACAAAAGTTACTAATAATACTGCATTTTGCAATGTTACCAGTCCCAACAGGATTTTTCCACTCTTCTTCTAGAACATGTGTTTGGCATGACAGATGTGAGCTTCCTCAGACCACTTTCTGAGCTGGCAGGATGATAGCCAGCTCCAGTCCAGAAGCCATATAGACACATAAATACAGTACTGTGCCTGAGCTAATAAACCCTGCCTAATAAGGCTATACAGTTTTCAGACCAGGGCTGGTTTATTCCAGCCAGTTTGGCAGCTTCATAGAGAAGGCTTGTATCTGTCTGCGCCTGTCTTTCTTTGTAGACATGGCTGTAATTATTTAGGAAGAATTCTTGTTCCCCAACACAAAAGCCAAAACACCTAACGTGGAACTGCTGAAGGATTCCCTTGGTGGATGGTATCTGGTAAATCTGATTCCACAGAAATTCCTAAGCTAATTTGTGCATCAAGGAATCGTCCTGCTTCTGCTGGTGTTGAACAATATGGGCTTTTGAGTTGTTCTGTAGGACTTCCAAACCGAATGTTACCCATGGTGCTTGTAATTCACAACGTCTCCCTTTCTAACATAGCAGAAGGCAACAGATCTGGATACTGACCTTTTAATGATACACTTGTGTAAATCTTTTCAACTTTTAGTTTTTAATGAGTTTCCACTGAAATGTCAGAATAGCCTTATGATACGTACTCACACGCAATAAAGCAATTAAAGGAAAACAACATATAGCAGGGAAAAAGAGTGACTTTGGCCAGAAAATTCCACAGCAGAGAAGAGGGGACCAAGGAGAGAAGAGTCAAAATCATATATACACTCATCCTCCTCTAGTCTAGCCAATCACATAGGAAAAAGAGAAAATTGTTCAGTTTTTATGAGGCTGTTAGAGCGTGTCAGCACATCAGTGCTACCATGTGCATTTTGCACTTTATTATAGTCCATATCTGCTTTTTATTCTTCCCTGTATAGTCATGCCCATGACAGGGAGTTACTGCCATCTGCCATCCTTGAGTCTTCTTTCTCTCAGTTCCCTCAAAAATTCAATGTGAAATTACTATGGCCCAAAGTCTTTCACCAGTTCAGATTACTTAATTGCACTTTATAAACTGCTTGCTTGGCCTTTCTTGGGCTAACCCCCTCCCCCCTTTTTTTTTTTCTATTTCCTTTTCTCTTCAAACCTCTTCCATTTGTATCCTTTATTTTACACCTTGTATCACTTTGTTTTATTTCTTCTGTCCCTCATGCTGGGTCTCCTGGCATTTTTTTTTCTCCATCACTCATATTTCTTCATGTGCCTGTCCTAACAGGTCTCACTTCCCACTATTTCCCATAGAAACCCATATTCGTTTCCAAATCCTCTCAGTTCCCATGTGGATCTCACAAACCTTTTCCTACCCTAAGCATATTCCTTACTCATTAGCTTCTTCTCTTCACCCCTCCAGTTAAACGGCAGCTGACATTCTCCATACCAAGCCAAGCTCAAAGGACAGCAAACCTTGAACAGGAGTATTTTGTGGAGCACTGAGAGGAGAATATGCTGCTGCACTGAGGGAAGAAGAAGAGCAGGCAGGGAACAAGACATGTAATTCAGCCACCTGAGCATCCTGTTTGGCTGGCCCTCCAGACAACACAAGCTTTCTGAAGGTTGTAAAAATGAGCTAAGCATACAGCAGTCAGGGTAGAGGAACTGGCAGCCACACAAGATCTGGTTTTATAACACACAAAAGAATAATTAAAACCTGACTTTACTAATAAGCATACTCCGTTTTCATCAGAACACAGCTCTTCCAAGTATCCCACTAGCTATGAAATGTCAAGCAGGAAATGAAAGTCACAGAGCGCTAAAATTTTATTACGGATATATTGTTTCATACCCAGGAACTTCTATCCATAATTAGGACACAATAATTGTAACTACAAGTTTTGGGGTGAAAAAAAAACCAAGTTAAAGATTAAAATCTTGATGCTGGCTTCTGGTAAATTATGGAGTGCAGTGGATGCACTTTAATGTAATGCTTACTGCATGATTTACTGTAGAAGATGGTGCTACTTTTCTGATACTGGATGCTTAAGTGTTTTGAGGGTACTTGACCAATACAGCTTATCTGTATCTTCTGCTTAACAATATCTCCCCTTTCCCTCTAGAAGCCTGCACTGAGATTAAAAACTTGGGTGGATTTAAGCAGTTCTTTCATTAGCTTTAATGAAAGATGTGCATTTAAATTCCTTCTTAATGTTCTCTCAAGGACTGTTTTTGCCTCAGAAACTTTTCTTGTCTTTGGTAAAATGCCAGAAAAAAAATGTGAAAAGAAGCTTCAATTAGTTAAGTCGTGATATGCCAGCACTTGTATAAACTCCTGAAGGCAGGGACTGGGGGTTTTATTCCTTTTACAGCATCAGCCAGAGTAAGGTCTCAGTCTGAAGTGCTTTGGACAAAAAAATGAATAACTAAAGTCAGGATGCTAGCAGATCAATAGATTAAAATTACATACATTGTATGTCTGAGACCACATCCTTGAGTAGGGCTTTCACTTAGTGACACCCTGATTGGATTTTAATGTAACTTTGCAAAAAAAAAGGAAAAAGAACCTTTTGGGAACAGCCAATCAAGTGAAATGTGCTCTGTCATTCCCTCATCCCTGCTATCGTGACTTCAACAGAAAAGGAAACTGAAGTTGAGAGAGCAGACCCTGAGCCACACATGATCACCAGAACGGACCACAGAGCAATAGCTCTTTGACCAGCAGTGAGTATCCTTCTCTCATTGTCTGTTTTTTTTTTTCCAACTACTGTCAATTGCTTTACATAAACCTGAATACACTTAAAGGCAAACCGATGCCATTATAGAATGTCCTAAATTAGTGAGACCATCATCAGGGGAAATATTAATCTGCAATATTGCATTTTACTTCAAGTGACCACAACCACAGGCCACCACTTCTCACAGAAACAATTATGCCCAATCACTGGCAATTAATGCAGCCCTAATCACATGGGGAATCTGGTCCAAGTACCAAAGATAATGCAGGTTTGAATTTTAATATTCCCATGAAATACATTCTCTCTCCTTCCCTCGTTGAACCTACTCCAATCATATATGCATGTTGTCCCTGGAAATATAGCTGTGTTTAACAGAAGGTCAAAGGAGTTTAAACACTGTCTGTAATCACAGAATCCTGGAATGGTTTGAGTTTGAAAGGACCCAAAAGCTCATCCAGTTCCAACCCCCAGCCAAGGGCAGGGACAGCTTCCACTAGACCAGGTTGCCCCAAGCCCCATCCAACCTGGCCTTAATCAACTGTTTACATATCCTGAAAGAAAAAGGCATGTACTTCTTCCTGGAAATACATAAAATTAAGACAGGTGGCATTAGAAGTGAAAAGTTTGCAGCAAAATAAACATTTCTAGTATTTGATGGTCACAAATCTTTCCTCCTAAGGTCTTTCTCTATAACTCAGTATGCAAGTTCCCTGCTGGTACAATTCTGGTCCTTTCTAGATGGTTCATTTTTGATCCTCCTCCAACAGTAAAAGCACTGTTGCACTGGCTATGCACTGGCTTACAAAGAAGCAGTCCCAAAACACCTACCTGCACAGTTCTGCTCCGGTACCCAGTGGATTTTGAGCCCTTCCCTCTGACAGGCTCGAGCATATGCCAGGAATGACTCGCAGTAGCAGTTTTTATGAACCGGGCACTCACACATGTCAGTCACACAGGACCTGCAGAACAAAGCCCCAGAACAGAGAATCAGGGAAAGCTTTGGTAGATACCTGCTCGAGGTTTGGAGCTGTTTACTTTCCAGTCACATGGAGTTCAATGCCACAGCAACTTGTGCTAAAAGGCAGGGAAGTTAAACACGTCTCTGCTGTTACATCCCAAGGGCTCAGCTCTTTTTTAATGTGCCGCTCTGACGCAGAAAGTCGCAAGGGCATCAGGGAGACAACCATGCAGAAAAACATAGAGGATACAATAAATGTCAGGCAGAGAGTACCAAGACCACAGTGGGAGAAGGCAAACTCCATTTTTGCAACAATTGTGTTTCAACACAAGATAAAGACTTCTTTCTTATTCCCTGCAAAGTAGTAATTTAACAATTATACCAATAATAACAGAAGCATTGTTAAGTGGATGAGTTCTGCAGGTAATAAGCACATGCCCGTCCATACACAGGATGAGAAATGGTGCCTTCTACTAGGTTACCCCCAACCTCTCCTTGGCTTTGAAGGCCCCAACATAGCTAAATGCCTGTGTTCTCAGCAGCATCACTACTAAATGCCAGACTTGAAGAGACTCCAAAGGAACAGGGGTGATGCAGCATAACTGAGCAGTTCTCATGCTAGGAAATCCCACAGGCACTTGTTAATATCACCCTCTTCTTCCATTGCATAAGATGGAATCATCACAAAACGTGGCAGGGAGCAAAGCTGCTAACATGGCTCAAAGTGAAACTGCTACTGTGTGTGTCACCACTATATTTCAAGTTATTTCATCCAGAGTGTGTGCCCATTTGGCACAGACCTAAACTGTAACTGTCAAGAGCCAGCAGACTTGCAGTCAGCAGTTTCTGCATATGCAGAATGCTTGGGTGCTTCAGCAAATACACCAATGCAAATTCAGAAATGCCAAGTAGCTACTGCTCTGAGTGGAATCATTAGAATGCAGGGACAAGGTGCCCTCTGAAAATCATGCTTCCAGTTCCTCTGCTTTGCAGAAGTAGCTCTGTGCATGCACCTTGGGTGTTCCTCTGCTCCATGCACATTCAGGGACTTTTCTACGAGTGGGAGAGGTGCAAATCCTCTAGAAAGACCAAGGTCTGAAGTAAAAATGAGCTCTCCGTGTTAACTGTTCTTGCTGTGGACCAATATTTTAACTGCCTATAGAAAAAGAATGGATACAGGTTCAATTTTCCAGAAACCTTCCCTATAGCTGAGTAGGTAATAGCTTGGAAAAGGTGCAAGCACCTCAGAGTAATTAGGAGCCTTAATGTCCATACAATGCTTTAGTGTCACTGGGAAATATTTATTCAAAACTACGAGAGAGAATCTGCGGTCCTTCAAACACATACAAGCTTGTTTCTGCATATCCAACAGTGCTGCTTAAAGAGGAGTATTTACCCTTCCCAAAGTCACCGGCTCTTTCAGTGTCCATTCACATGGTTAAACCTGACAGTTGTACTTGACATTTCCATGAGCTTTCCTTCATGTTGCTCTCAGTGGATCCCCAACACAAAATTACCTAAAAATTCACTGTGTGACAAATACGCAATGTAAACACTAACATAAAAAGGTTATCTGTCCTGCAATTACTGATACGTGCTTACTGTGAACAAACAGAATTGCTTTGGAGCAAGTCTACAACATGCTTGTTTCTACAAACCAACGGTTTTCATTTGAAATAACTTTACTTTCTGGGGAAGATGCAATTTTATTTCACTTTAGTTCTGCGGTAGGTCCCTTTACATCTTTCCCAGTAACAGATGTCGCTGTATGGGTATTGCAGCTGATGGGTTGCAAGAAACAGATTAGCACAGCATCCCTGGCATTGTTTGATGTTGTTAGCTGATAAAAGGCCTTGTATAAGCACAAAGGGTCACCTTTTTATGTGACACACTAAACGAGTTTACACTGTTTCCTTTGGCCACAACATGTTTGTGATGTCTTGCTAGCATCCCTGCAGCTGGCACTGCTCCATATACCCCACAGCATTTAAGAGGTGTGTCTCATTTTACAGTGAAGTAGATGCTAGTTTGCTGGTGCAGCAAATTATTAGCACAAAGGGAGTCTGTAATAATCTTAGAACCAGAGGATGGTTTGGGTTGAAAGGAACCCCAAAGCTCATCCAGTTCCAACCCCTGCCATGGGAAGGGACACCTTCCACTAGAGCAAGGTGCTCCAAGCCCCACCCAACCTGGCCTTGAACACTGCCAGGGATGGGGCAGCCACAGCTTCTTTGGGCACCCTGTGGCAGTCTCACCACCCTCACAGGGAAGAACTTCTGCCTAAGAGCTCATCTCAATCTCACCTCTGTCAATTTAAAGCCATTCCCCCTTGCCCTGTCCCTACATAGCCTTGCCCACAGATACAAATTCAATTATTAAGATACAATTTCATCATCTTTTTGTCCCTGCGCTAACCTCCTTTATCAATCACAATTTACTGCTCTCCATGCAGATTTAGTTATTATTAAACTCTGTGTTATTTAGGAATGTTTGCCAGTACCAGGTTGGCTATGTGCTCACCGACTTCCTGCCTTAGAAATTATAAAATCATAAACCTGAGGTACTGCCTCTGCTTTCTAGAGCATAAATATATTTTCACTATCCAGAGGGGGATGCCACCTTCTGCACTGAGTCAATGCAATACCAGCTATCCCAGATGCTTCCACCATGGCAAGATACCACCATCAGCCACACAGTCTTCTTAACCATCAGTACGTTGGTGGCAAGACTAGCACTCACCCTGATAAAGCCTGGGCATGGTCTGGGGGATGAAGGAGGTCAGGGCACTGTTTTGGTCTGCAGGAGCACAACCTCTTTGAGGTTGCATGGAGTTTTGCCCCTGTATATATGTGAGTGACACTACACCATTAACCCTTGGCATCCAGAGATGTTCAAGGCTGTTCCAATTCAGTGTTTCGCTCTGCATTCTCAGAGTTCTACTCCAGAGTGAAACATCTCCAGTTTGGCTGGAATTAACACAATATGCTACAGTGTTCAGCATGTGTGTCCACTAAAGAAGGTAGCATGCCCCATGCAACACAATCCTCTGATTCATTACATACCTAATTACTTGGGTAGCTTTTATTTTCCTAAAGTTTTTAATTCTGTTGACAGCTGCTGGGCTCAAGCCCTAAGCATGGCTAAGGAGCAATCATCAGATTGTGGCAGGTTTATTAATGAATTACAATTGCTAATTATTTCTAAGAATACATTAATTACCATTAAATGAAAAATGAGGGTAAAGGAAACAATATCCACAGCTGCTAAGAAGTATCAATCAAAATAAACCTTTTTTTTCCTCCCTTAATGAAATTCCTTGGTGGCAAGTTTAATGCATTAGTATTAATTGTAGTTAGATGGATTGGCAGTTGAAGGAGCAGGGTCTGATAAATAGATTCGGTGACACTAACTGCATGTATGCAGAGGTTTAGCTGTACTCTAATCTGACTGACAAACAACAGGAAAATAAACTTCTAGTAAAACTCTGGAATTAAGCCGATAATGAAGCTGTACTGACAAGGTACCACACTGCACACTAACAGAGACTTTGGGTCTTCCAAGGTATTTTGACACTTTACCAAGACCAAAATATTTGCTTAAATGAAGCTTCAATACAAATCCATTACAGTCATACAGAAATAATCTCATAAGATTGCAGGGCAAGTTACTTATAAAAGAAGCCATTTTACCAGCTACGGAAATATACACAAGACACTTCTGGGCAGCTTAGCTCTGCTCTCAGTGAAATCACACAGAGAGGCAATGATGTTGTCATCCAAAACAAAATGACATTTCTTTTAAGGACATATTTACAGATTTACATTCGTCTGTGATGGCGTGCTTTATCTGGAGACCCTGCTCCAAATAAGCACCAAAGCACAGCCAGCCTCTCAGTCCTCAACTGGTACCAAGTGCCTCACTGTGATGCCTTTTGATGCTGTGGATGCTGCCTGCAGGGTGTGTGTCAGAGATGCCGCTAATCAGGCATGCATAATCACCAACTGCTGCAAGGGGAAATCCATGAAAGTGAAGACATCCGGCAGCTGTGGGACACACCCTTGGAGGAGACAAACACACACACACTCTGCTGCCACATCTTCAAAGAGAGCTGCATAAGTACACTCCTTCAGCAACAGCCCTTTTTCACATTAAACTATGGAAAGTCTCCAAGTCCCACAAAGGGCAAAGAACCGAGTCCTGTGCTACATGCATGATTAAAAGGAGGAAGAAGAAAAGATCAGAGCAACAAAGCCTACAGCTTTAGTCAGTGCCACGCAGGACTGAAATGGCAGATGTTTACTTGCTGAACGCGATCAGTTCCTTTTCCTTTGCAGTACACACAAATACACAACCAGAACCTGGGGAGACCTTATAATAGTCTTCCAATACCTAAAAAGGGCCGACAAGAAATCCGGAGAGGGGCTTCAACAAGAGCATGTACAGACAGGACAAGGGGAATGGCTTTAAGCTGACAGAGAGGAGATTCAGATGAGACATTAGGAAAAAATTCTTCACCATCAGGGTGGTGAGACTCTGGCATGGGGTGCCTAGAGAAGCTGTGGCTGCCCCATGCCTGGCAGTGTTCAAGGCCAGGCTGGATGGGGCTTGGAGCACCTGCTCTAGTGGAAGGTGTCCCTGCCTGTGGCAGGGGGTTGGAACTGGATGAGCTTTGGGGACCTTCCAACTCAAACCAGTCTGGGATTTTAGGAGGGACGATTTCTGTATGGATGGGTTTTTTTTTTTTTCCACATTTCGCAACAGGAGTTTGATGCAGGGCATTTTTCAAACCTCCTGATGCCTTCAAGAAGTGGCTCTATGCAAATGGAAACATCTTCCTCTTTCTACCAGTAGGACTCAAAAGACTTTACAAAAGCAATTAGAGATTGCATCACTACATTCGTTTTATGTATGTGAAGAGAGGCATCAGAAGGTAAAGGGGTTTGTACCTGGGATAAGCTGTACACTTCCAAAGCCTGAAGGGTTATCTACCTAGAGAGGAGA